ACAGAAAGATAAAATGCAATGAGCAGATAATGCAATATTAAAGAGCTAATAATAAATAAAAACAATAGACAATAATAACAGACAAATGGATTAATCTGTCACAGGCCAACTGGGCACTGCGAGGGTATCATCCACTGGGCTGTTCAAAACAACAGATAGATGGACATGGGTTGGCAACTTATCAATAGTCTCTCAATGCCAGGTGCACACCAAGTGAGTCCAGCGAAGTCGGGCATCCCCAATCAACGCTGTCAGAGGGATTACTGGGGAAAGTCCCTCTATCAGGATCCAATCCTCACTCACACCAAGAGTTTGGAGTCCAGACTTGGAAAAGCAATGACTGTTCTGTTCCCTCCTTCCTGCTGGTCACCTGACGCATGTGCTTTTTATACCTAGTCTTATGCTAATCTGTTGGCTTTAGAGCCACTCGCAATCTTGCCCTATAGCTGTTACCCTATGGGATTGAAAGGTGTTAAAAATTATCATAAAAGGTTACTACCCAGAGTCAAGTTTATCCAATAAGCAAATTATAATGTTAATTTCAAACCTGAAAATGCTGCATTACTCTGCCTAAATCCAACCCCTTTTAGGTTTCTCTGAATATGCTTTCTTGGGACATGTTTTTCTGGAATGTGTTGGGAGTGCCAGGTGGTTGGATCCAGTTTTTATCATCAAGGCTGAACTCTGAGCAAAAACCGTTAGGTCAGCTAATCTTACAGCTATAGCTTCACCTTTGGGGCCCAGTCAGTTCCACAAACAGTTAGTTTTATCATTTTGTTTAAACTTATGACAGGCAAGTTACATTTGCAAGTTACAAACTTACAAGCTTTATATTAGGGAAAATTCCAAATGCCTCCAAGAAGCACATATTTAGTGCTTATTAATTTCTTTGGTTTTGGCCGTCACACTCTTCTTTATTTTTTTTCCAATAAATTGAATTGCAATCAATTTGACTGAGAAATCACAATAAAGCTAAAACAGTATAAACATTTCTTTTTTACTCAACAATGCCATTGGTAGTCAACTGGTGAATACATTTTTTTTTTACAGTACAGCCATTGCCAGCAAGTGCAATATAATAGAATAAAATACCAATTAACAATATGCTCCCAAGATCCCTTGAGTAATCCCTTTATATGATATGGATGGATGGAGGGCTGCATGGTGGGAGGGTGAAAGGGAGAGAGGCCAGTAACCAGGCTGGTTGCCTGCCTGCCATGTCCCAGCAGTGTGTAATTTTTGATCTGGCATGCATGTCCAATGGGGCGGGGGGGAGGTGAGGGAGCGGGGTGCTTTTCAGAGAGATGATGACTGTGCAACTTTCATGGAGTCATGGCGTTACTGGAAACTTGAAGGGTGGACTGTTATCGGATGGAGGGAGGTTGAATGCTTGGCCAGTGCTAGTGTGTAGCAGCATTTCTTGCAAGAAAGAAGACTAAACAAACTCACCCACAAAGCTTAGTTAGGGAGGGAAGGGCCCCCTCTGGTGGGGGCCCCCAGGCACGGTCCCTTAGGGGCTCCCTCAGGTGGGGATGTATGGCCTGACTCAGCTTGCTGACTGAGTTGGGGCATGTTACTCTCTGTTACACTGTAACTTTGGAATCTTTGCTGGCCACAAAGCTTAGGTAGGGAAGGAGGGGCCCCCTCAGGTGTGGCAGGAGAGGGAGGGCGGGCGGACGGACAACTTTCTACTTTCTGTTATCCTTATTTATTTAAACTATGTTCTGTTATTTAAACTAGGTTCTGTTATCCTTATTTAAAATCTTTCTTCCTTCTGCAAGTCAGAGAAGAAACTCAAGGAGACAGAGTGGTGGGTGGGTGTCAAAAGACATGTATGCCAATCCAAATTTGCTGGGACGTGGCCAGTAATCAAGAGGAGGGTGAGAAGACTATGAAATGGACCTGCAGAATTTGTGCAAAATGATCTGATGCTAAGGCCAAAGCCAGTGAAGAAAGCTCAGCTTCCTTTGTGGCCAGCAACAATGCAAAAGTTACTAGGGTGCAACAGAGAGGTGTAAGGGAGGGGTGGGTGAGTGAGTTGAAGAATCCACAGGCTTGGGCCTGCTACCCGGACCCCAGAGGTCTTTGCCAGCAACCAAGAAAAAAGCCTCTACATTCAGAAAAGAAACTCAAGCCTCAGCTTCCTTAGAGGAAGGCCCCACCTGTGCCTCGAGCCCTCTGCAGCAATGAATGAAATGTGCTTGCAGAACTTGTCCAGCTTGTGCTGATGCAGGACATGGCCAGTAACCAGGAGGAAGGCAAAAAGATTATATGAAATGGGCCTGCAGAACTTGTGCTAATTGAGCTGATGCTTGAGCCAAAGCCAGTGAAGAAGCCTCATCTTCTGCCACTGCAGTGGTCATAGCTCAGGAGCATAGCTTCCTTTGTGGCCAGCAATGATTCAAAAGTTACAAGGGTGCACCAGAGATGTGCAGAGGTGGGCAAGTGGAACAAAGAGCCCGCAGGCTTGGGCCTACTACTCAGACCCTGGGAGGGAATTTGCCGGAGGTCTTGGCCAGCAACCAAGAAGAAAGCCTCTGCATTTGTGGCCAGCAACAATCCTCTAATTACAACTCTATAATATGCTCATTAGTAAACAGGGCCAGCAGCCAGGAGGAGGGCTAGAATAACATGAAATGAACCTGCAGAACTTGTGCAACTCTTACCATACTCAAGGTGATGCTTGGGCCAAAGCCTGCGAAGAAAGTCTCCACAATTCAAGTAGTACACAGAAGAGAAGCCTCAGCAGTACTTGTGGCCACTAACCAAGAGGAGGAAGTAATACAAATTCAGTAAGGGTGGTATGTAAAGCAGAAGTGTGTGTGTATATGTATATGTATATACACATCTCTTCTCCATGGGAACAGAGGGACCTAGGGAGGAGCTTGAACCAGGAGGTGGGCATTTCCTCCCCCCAACTGCCTTGGGGAAAGAGGCAGGGAGGGCACATAATCACTTGCCTTACGCTCAGTATTTGCTTTCTCATCATAAGGAATCAAACTGTAATTATAAGTCTACTCTATAACATAAGTCTATACCATACTTTGGCGAGAGAGAGAGAGAGAGATGGGGGCACCACCACTCCACGCTGCTCACCCCTCCTCCCCCTGCCACTGCCAAAACCACCACAGAAGGTGGCTTGTTCAGGGTGTGCATAGAAGTGAGGGCAGCAGCACTCTGGGCTTGTCCCCTGGTCCCCAGAGACCCATGGTACACCACTGGTGCAGGGCCTTGGGCAAATAACGCCCCCCCACATTCAGAGATGATCCCGCATGCCACAGTGGTGAGGGAGGGGAGTTGGCGAGCGTTCGAATGCAAGGCTGGCAGCAACACTGAGGAGTCACCCCATCTACTCCACTCATCTCTGCAGGGCCCCCAAACCCCTGCGCTCAGGGTAGTCGTTTGTATTCGTGCCCCCCTAGGAACTACCCTGCCACCTTCAGGGCACAGACAAGTGTCAGGTGTCACTTACCAAAGGGGGCGTGTAGCACATCACCATATCCTCTTTCAAGTCGCACATCACAGAGCTCCGGGCAGCAAATAGCACTCAAAGCTTCACTGCACCCCACTTGGTCAGCCTGCAGTCTTCTTGAACCCTGGATTCACATTGCTGTGCCCCCCAGGGGCAAATCTCAAGACTGGGATGAGTCCTTTTCTGCCCCCGCTGTGCTGCTGTTCCTCACCTGCCTCAAACCTCCCTCATCAATACAGTGAATTCTCACCCCAACCTCTGCTCCCCCAATTTATAGTACTTGAGCAGGGCAACTCCCCCCCACCCCACCAGCAGCCTTGTTTTGGTGTGGAAAAAACCTGAGACACTCTGTCGCCAGGCTGGAAAAGAGCGCAAAAGCAAGGCAGAAAAGTTTGCAAAGTCCATGAGTTTGTGTGCAAGCAAACCAGGTCTTAAACCCCGTGCCTCACCCCACCCACAGCCTCGCTTTGGTGTTCCAAAACAAAGGAGACAGTGCCTGGCACCTGGCTGGAAAAGACTGTGAAAAGAATCTTGAAAAAGCTCATCTTCAAAGTTTCTGTCTAGCAAAAATGCAAGGAAGGTTTGTGACGGGTGAGCCAAAGAGGCATAAGCCCCTGTGGGCGACTTTGCAAAGTGGCTGGTGGCTTGCAAAAAAGCAAGCCAGGTTGCTGGGGGGGGGGGTGACACACCACTTCCCTTTTCCCAACTAAGGGAGGTGAAATCAGAAGCAGTAAGTATGGCCTCAAAAATGACTTTGCAGAGTGGGCACTGCCTTTGCAAAATGCTGGTGTGCAGGCCAGCACTTGTGTGTTGCAATCCACCCAGGCAGCCCCCCTGTTTACCTGTGCAAGAGAGATTGCCAACCCCTCCCCACCAACACCATGCAGCAAGTGACAGGAAAAATGAACAGAGAAATGAACCCAAACAATGCACGAAATCCACCTTTGCAACCAAGCAGTGTAAGGGTGGATATGGAGGCAGACACAGGAAGCCAGGAAGCCATGAGGTTTTATTGTTTGCAACACACTAGTTACTTGTGTTTCTTTGCCTTCACTCCACCATGACCCTGAACCGCCCCATCTTCCTGAAACGCAGTGGCACCCTCCTGGCCCTTCTGGCAGTCATATGGCCCTCCTGTGACCCCCACTGAGTTAGGGGGAACAGGCTCGGCTGTAATCTCCACTCATCTTGCACAGAGGCAAGACAAGCAGACCAACTTTTCCCTTTTGGGCATGGTACCCATTTATTTAGGTACTTCTGCACATTCTGAAAAGCATCATTGAAAGTGTCCCGTGACCTCCGAAATTCAACACAGGACCCGTCGACCATGTCTTTCAAATTCTGCATGGTGTCTTGCACTTCCTTGAGGTTAGCATCATCCTTACGCAGCAACTCACAGAGTTCATTCTGCCAAGCATCTGCATGTTCTACTCTGGCCACTGAGGAGTCTGCCAAAACCTTGAGTGAGGTTTTGCGGGACTGTCTCTGCTTGCTGAGATAATCTCTGCAGCGCTCTGCTGTAGTGCGAGTGGGGCACTGTTCTGGATGGCCATAGGTTGAAGTGGCTGATAAACAAAGAAAAAAGCAATGGTTGCCTTCCCCCCAAGAGGAGGAAATTACATACCCCCATCCCCATCATGCAGTGCACAAAATGCCAGCAGGCACAGAAACAGACCCCACAACTGTGGGGCACCACTCGTACTACCCAAAACTTACAAGTACTCGCTTCAGAAACAGGTCTGTGGCTGCCACTGCACGTGCTAGCTGAAAAAAATTAATTAAAGCATATAATTAGTTTGGTGTCTGTTACATTACAAGCTATCAAAATTATGATGCACCACCACTGAAAGAATATGGCGACTCACCTATAGCAACACATGAATTTCACCCCCCAAACTGAACCAGCATGAACCTGGGTGCTGCCTGACAGTGGCAAGAGGCACATTATAAGACTTACCAGGTCCAGCATGTTCTTGGGTCTCAGTAACAGTAGATGATGTATCAGCCACATGGGTTTCTTCCTGACCCTCCACCTGCTCCGCTTCATCATCTTTGCTTGTCTTTGGAACGGAGGGGCTAAGCGGCACTAAGTGAATGTTGACCAACAGTTCTTCCTGCCACTCATGGTCATCAGGGAGCAGTCTTTGTACAGCTGAGACATGCTCCTGGTTTCACTCTCAGGAGGGGCTGCTGCCCAACACCAATGCTGAAAGTCTCCATACCTGGGTTGTCATCCGCATCCTCGGAGAGAATAATGGACAGTTTGTCATCGAAGGGGGCAATTGTGTGACCTGCCTCAGAATGAGAGTTCACATCTTTGGCTCTGTGAAATACTGATCTCAGGGACTTGATCTTGCACCAGGCCTGGGTCCAGTCACAATTGTGCCCTTGCGCCTGCATGCCTTTTGCAATCTTGACATAAACAGGCTTATTCTTCCTACTTTCCAGCCTGTTTATGATCTTTGGCTCTGACCAAATGTTAATTAAGTCCTCCAGTTTTTCCCAAGCCCAGTTCGGTTCATAGGCATTGGAGGTATCAGCCTCCTGGGCTGTCGGTCCATACTGCTGGTCTTGGCTTTCTGAGACATGGCGAAGCAGATCATGGTCAACAGCACAAGCAATTTCTGAAAGGGGGGTGGCAAATTCTTTTTGGCAGGGGTGCACCTTTATACTCAGGCTGCGCTTGCATGAGGGTCTGGGAAAATTTCAAGGATTATGAAGTCATTACCTGTAAGTGTCAAAACACCCAAACATGATGAAGCACCCAGTTAACAACAAAAAAGATGGTGATGGGGTAAATCAGGTCATTGTATGTTGGGATGACTGCTCAATGGCCTGGAATGTTACAAAAGATCAATACCTACCTGACTGCTTGTGCAAAATAATTTTATTACAGAAACACAGCCTGTTTTCCCTAATGTGGCAAAAGTTTTGAGTAGCCTACATTACCAGGAGAGGAGTAGGCAAAACATTTTTTTGTTTGCAAGCTTGATTACATTAGAACACCAGTGGCTGCTAAGCTTAGGATGAAAGGATATGCAAAAGCTTCAATGCTCCAGGGTGCCAGGGTGAAGTGTTGAAAAAGCAGCTACACCACGCTCCAGACCACACAACACCCTACAGTCCCTGCCCTCCACTTGATGCAGATGGGTGAGAGGCCACTGCTGACAGAGAGGGGCAAAATGGAGAATGAGGATAAAATGCATGTGATGGGCTAGCTGGTAGTGATTTAGCCCAGGGGTTTTGAAAGGATAAAAGATGATTGGAGGACTTGGGATTCCCTTTCCTCACCAGAGACTCACCCTCCATGTCCCCTGATTGGCCCCTTGGGTCACCTGGAGTGGGATAAACAGGGCTAAACAGGGCAGTGCAGCTGGCTTAGGAGAGACCAGCGAGGGACCACAAGGAAGGAGTTTCAAAGAGCTGGCAAGAGCTGGGCCAGCAGGGCAGAAGCAGTTGCCAGAGAAGAACCTGAAGGAGTGGGACCTGCAGGCAGCAGTTGGACCCTCAGCAGCATCGTGTGCGGGCAGCAGGAGAGGCTCCCCGCTGGGCTCCAGGGTCCCCCATGAGAGGCTGCAGCCAGCAGGAGAGCCTCCCCAGCTGCAGCAAGGATCTGAACAGCCACCTGAGAGGTTCCCAGCTCTGCTTCCCACTCCTCCAATAAGAGGCCAGGCAGCACATGAGGCTGGGGCTCTGGGAAAGTCAAGGCCCCTAGCAGCTTGGAGTAGCACCAGCATTGGTGGCTGTGTGGTAGAGTTTTTGTCTACCACATAGGAAAGCTGAGTTCAAATACTAGCTGGGATGACTTAGAGTGGGTGAAGTGACAAGGGGAAATTCTTGTTGCAGTGGAAAGGGGTCACTGGGTTTTCCCTCTTCCCCCACCCCCCAACCCTTCTAGGTACCTAGGTACCCTATATTCCTTGTTATTTGATGTTTTGTATTTAATGCCTTTTATATTTCACCAACCAATATTGTTTGTTCTGCTGTTTGTGTCTTATATTTTGTTAACCCTAACTTTTGTCAACTGGATGAATATGTCTATGATTGTAAGTGTCTAACCTTTATGAATCCTGCCCCCTCAGTGTGTTGTAGTTGTAGTGTCCCCTGTACTCCCTGGTTTATACTGGTTATGTTCCCAGTGCTGTTCTCTCATTAAAAGGTATATGGTTAAGTCCCCATTAGTGATCTGGCTCTACTCTATAGGGGGAGGATTTCATAGATTTCATAGATTTCATAGACATTAGGGCTGGAAGGGACCTCGGAAGATCGAGTCCAGCCCCTGCCCAAATGGCAGGAAGTCAGCTGGGGTCATAGGATCCCAGCAAGATAAGCATCCAGTTTCATCTTGAAGGTGTTCAATGAAGGCGCTTGAACCACCTCCGGTGGCAGGCTGTTCCAGACCTTGGGGGCTCGGACAGGAAAGAAATTCTTCCTTATGTCCAGCCTGAAACGATCTTGAAGTAGTTTGTGACCATTCGACCTTGTCATCCCTTGGGGCGCTCTGGTGAACAAACGTTCCCCCAGATGCTGGTGGTCACCCCTGATAAACTTGTAGGTGGCCATCAGATCACCCCTGAGCCTGCGCTTTTTCAGGCTAAAGAGCCCCAGGGCTCTCAGCCTGTCATCGTAGGGTCTGCTTCCCTGACCTCTGATCATGCGCGTGGCTCTTCTCTGGACTCTCTCAAGCTTCTCCACATCCTTTTTGAATTGTGGAGCCCAAAACTGGACACAGTACTCCAGCTGCGGCCTCACTAAGGCCAAGTACAGGGGGAGAATGACGTCCCAGTAACAGTAAAATCAGAATAAGACCCACTGCTTCTCATTGCTGAACTAGTGTACTGAATCCTGCTAGCTTCCAACAGATGTTACTATGTTACTGTGTTTCCAGAAGCAGATGTTTCATGATCCAGTTTTTTCTCTCCCAGGAGTAAAATGCCAACATAACTTAAATTCTAAAATTTCTTACCATCAGTGGCAAATATGCTGACTACACTACCATCACAAGAAGCTCCTCTTGGAGGCCCCTGGAGAAGCAATGTCTAACAGGCAGCCTAAATGTTTTCCTTATTAGCTCCTAGACTTCTAGTATACAAAGGTTTTCCTCTGAAGTTGTGAAGCAAGATAGTGGCACTATATTGCAACAAACTTTGCTGGTTTCGGCATATTGGTCTCATAATTTACCTTTAGAACACAAGCAAATGTTTCCTATGAGTTACAGAGAAGGATTGCTATATTCCCCTCTATTCAGCACTGGTGAGGCCACATCTGGAATACTGTGTCCACTTTTGGGCCTCCCACTACAGAAAGGATATGGGCAAATTGGAAAGAATCCAGTGGAAATCAATTAAAAGAGCCCAGTGGAGGGCACTGGAAAGAGTCCAGTGGTTAGGGGGCTGGGGCACATTACTTATGAGGAGAGGCTGAGGGAACTGGAGAAGAGAAGACTGAGGTGGATTTAATAGCAGCTTTCAACTACCTGAAGGGTGGTTCCAAAGAGGATGGCACTAGACTGTTCTCAGTGGTGGCAGATGACAGAACAAGGGGCAGTGACCTCAAGTTGCAGCAAGGGAAGTTTAGGTTAGATATTAGGAAGAATTTTCTCACTCAGGCTGAGGAAGTTGGTGTGTGTGCTGTTCCTGGATGGAAGGAATAATAAAGAAGCCAGAGGCTGGCATGCAATGCAGGCAAGAAAGCCAGAAAGTGAAAATGGAAATGGTGGCATCAGGGGGTAAGGGACAAGCTGGGGTGGGAGGGGAGGGGGGTGTAGCAGCGCAGGTAAAAGTGCATAAGTACCTGGGGAGTCAGATGTCTGGCAGGTTGTAGTGTGTCAGAGTTCCAATGTCTATATTGAGTCCATCAGTTTCTGTACCTACTACCTAGGAGGTTTATGAAGTGTAGTTCATAGGCTACTCTGTGGAAAGTGATTTGTAAATTCAAACAAGCACTGAACCTCATTAACCTCATCACCAGAAGCCAACTTCCTACAGCACAAAACACACTGAACAGGTCCAGACCATGCCATGACAAGGCATGCAGAATCTGCCAACGATATCTTGGGAAGAAAAACCCGCAGCATCCTTATAGGCTCGGCAGTGCTATGTTGGCTAGCACTATGCAAGAAAGAGACTTGGGGGTCATCATTGACCACAAGATGAACATGAGCCTGCAATGCGATGC